TATCGAATCAATAAATTATAAATGAGTTACGTGTTATAAATTACCACCGAAACCTAATGAAATTGTTGAATATGCGAAAGTTCGGTACTACCCACAGAAATTATAACATCATAAACAGTGGGATTTGCATAATAAAACGGATTTGAATAATGGAATTTTGGGGAAAAGCATCACCGATGTTTGAACAAGTGGAACAGATTAAAGTGGATACACTGAAAAGGGAGACAAAGGATATGGAAAATTGGAAAATAACATTACGTAAATACAACTATATAGTGTAAGAAAGGCTAAGAGAAATAATAGCTGCTCAAACTAAGATGTCGGAAATGGAAAAAAAACGTATAAAGAGACAGAGATAGCAGCTATAGAAATTTATCTGAAAGGCTTTGGAATGCGACTCAGGAGAATGAAAATGAGTAAAATTTCTAAACACAGTTGTACAAACTATTAAAAATAACAACTGAAGTAAAATATTCAAAACATGGAAAAGAGTTAATTGAGCTTTTGAACGCACGATTACAAATATATTACAAATTGCAGCATTTGTTTTTGAATTTCCTGCTTTTCCTTTCCGCTTCGTTTTGGTTAAATTCCTTTCTTTGTACTGACTTTCACATGTTTTCGCTTTAGTTTTCAATTAAATTTTCACATTGCATTGTAGGTGCACTGCGACTGCACTGCAAACTACATCAAATAATTTTCATACATTTTCCGAGTCAGAGGCAACATTGCAATTTCATTTTGAGATGCTGCAGTCAAAGAAATAAAATAAATATTTGCACTGCGCTGCGGCGTTGACGAGGACGACGTTGGGAACAGCGCCACAAAACCCCTAAGCCCCTTATATATACATATATATATATATATATATATATATATATATATATATATATATGTGATGCGCCTATTTTGGGGGCACTTTTTGGGTAAGGAGGTTATTTCAGCGACATTTGCCACTATCGGGGACTGTCCCCGAAAAAATCGACGGTGCACTGTTAATTTTGAGGACATTTTCGTTTTCAAAGCAAAGTACATAACTTTTGGATATGAATTATATATGGTTTGAAAATATACTTTTTTTCGATAAAGATTGACTTAGCATTAAGCCAATCTAGATTTTATAAAAAAAGTTACAGTCCTTTTTTAATTTTTATAGATTATGCATATAGTCAATTTTGGAGACCCATACTTCTATGATTTTTCTTTAGTTGTCCGTTTAGTATTTATGACCCCAGTTAAGTTAATCTCATTTTTACTGGTTAAATATATGTTTAAAATATATGAACAACAACATATTTAACCAATTATTGATTATTTTATGAAAAATATAAAATTAAATTCCATCGATGTGGCAACACCGCACATATATATAAACAACAGCTTTTATGAGGACAGAGGAACGGTGGAATTATTTCTAATGTAACGATTATTTCGGGCACACTATATGTGACATTCCTTTTGGGGACAATGTCCTTAAAATAACTACATATATCATATATAACCAAATGTACAAACATGTTTTAATGGAATGAAACGAAAATTTAACAAACGCACACGAAAACTTTGAAAAATAATACGAACATATGTACATACATGGCTTATAAGGATATATTTATATATTTTTATTTGGAAGTGAATATTTATATGTACCTCTTTTTTGAATAGCTGTTCCATATTTTCAGAGTCAAAAGTCTAAAAGTATTTATTATATGAAAATAAGTTCGGTGTGCAAGAGTTTATATGAAATGAGATAGTTTTTTTATTAATGGTAGGGAGCTCCCGCTATTCCCTAGCGGGTATTCACCCAGAACCCTCTTCTACCAACACCAAATTCAGCTCGCGCTAGCAGAGCTTGTTTGCTTCAGCAGTAATGAAAATTTTTTTTTTAAAAAAACCACACTTTTTGGGCTCGAATCGAGCTAAAAATTCTTGAGTTAAGTATAATTCGTACTTCATTTCATAGAAGCTCTGAAAGGTCTTAGAATAAGTACTAATATTCTTGAATCAAGTACAAAAAATGTATTTGATGCAGCATTTGTACTTAATGTAAGCTTTAAAAAATCAAGAAGAATAAAAGTTAACTCAAGGTTTAAAAATCTTGAAAAGTTGGACAGCCCAAAAAAGTGAGAAAGAATTGGCACGCGCTCGCTCTCTCAATTTTGTTTCTAATTCTTTTGCTGAAGCCAACGCGTGCCATTTCAAGTAAAGAGTTCGGTGACGTAGAAATGTACGCGGATAAAAAAGCTATATTGCCGGAGCAAAGGCTTCGAGAGCTCCTTAAGCAATTTGGATTGAAGCACCTGCTTTCCTATTTAGACGGTAAGTACATATGCACATACATACGTATGTATTGGTTTAATTATTCTTGTGTATATATGTACATATATATACTTACATAGATTAACGTAGATAAGATATATATTTACATACATAGATAATACACATACATATGTATGTACATGCACACAAGAATTCTACAGTCATCAGTAGCGCTTATTGTACTATTTTCGGGTGTTCTCAAAATGACAAATACATTACAGATAATAATAATTAATAAATCGAGTAGCAACCATCAAAGCTGCTACTGCCTAAGTGACACTTAAGAAACTTGCGCGCTTTCAGTTGTCAAATGAGGGGCGGCCTCGGTGAGCATAAAGTTTCTCGAGCTGCGCCCGATCGGATGGCGTTACTTTATGCGCATTCTTTTTTTGTTAGATTAATATTTGGACATTAGGCTTTTGGTGACGGTTACAGGTGGCTTGCAGCTAGTTGTAGATGTTACCACAGTATAGTCGCCATTGCCATCCGACTGGTTGCAGCAAGTGCCAAATGCCGTAGCGGAATCGGAGGAACAAAGATCAAACATCGTTTGTGATGTGCTGGCTGCACGTTTAATTGGCTTTTTCGCTGATTTTTCCAAGGCACGTGCCAAGCCGGATCATTAGACAAGGCCGTCGAGTTCCATCCACGCTGTGATTGTTAAAGCTCGACAGCTGTGGCGATGCTGAGGCTTCACCTTCTTCCTTTAGTTCCGCTTGTTGCCTCAGTTTTTGCACGCCTCCAAATATATTTGCTTCGAAAGCGCTTGTGCACGCTTGAAATCTATATCGCGATCATTTGCTTCAATTGATGCTTAGTTTCTTAAGCTTTGATTCGGGGGTGTTTTCAGTTACTTTTCTGGAGGTGTTGTTCATGCATTTTGCTTTGTTGCTCTTGGCACAGAGCTGGATTGATTTGGGAGTTGGTATTGGGGCACTCATATTTAAGAATTTTACTTATGCATTTTGGTTGGGCTCAGCTTCGGACACTTGCTGCATTTTGCGGGCTGGCTTTTTCTTCAAATCGCCCTCCTCTGTGTCAAATTAGCGGCGGTGACTTAGCGTCGATTTTTTGTACTTGTTATCGAAAATGGAATCGTTCACTTTTAAATGCATTTATTTATGTTTTTAAGCACAAAACCTAATAAATTTAAATGCAGAATTGCAAATTACCGCTATATTGATGAATAAAAATGTTAGGTAATTATTGCCAGCTAGTTTTTTTCATTAACATAGGGTATAATAGGAAAAGTAGAAACATACAAATTTTTTTAAAAACTCGCTGTACGATTTTTTTTATATAAAAAACAAAATGATTGATAATTCGCGATCTATATTAAACAACCAAAAAATATAAATGAAAATTTGTTGAAATATTGACACCTTTTTATAATGCTGTGTATAAATACACAGTTGCCTTATTACGTAGTAATATATTTTAATAAAGATAATGTTTTATTGTAAAATGCCAATTATGTCATTTATTATTGTATTTCTTTCCCATATACTAATATTTTAAATTAATTTTTTCCCTCTCAATACTGTATAACATTGTTCAACGCTGATTCCAAGCAGTGGTTCGGTTTCCGTTAAAACTCATAGCTCGTTAGGCCTTTTAAATGAACAGCATGAGGTGTGTTAACATTTTATTTACTTTTCTAAAAAACTGGCTAATCGATTTGTTTAGAATTATTACGTAAAGCTTTCTTAAATATATATCTTTAAGTTGGTATACCGTGCATTATCCCTGAGAAAAGATATTAGGGTTCAAGTGCAAGGATTATTTTTTTACGGTCATTTTGTATGGTATTAGCACTGTTTTACAAATATTTTTAAAACGTGCTGATCGATTTTTATAATTTGTCCAAAATGGGTTAGGTGAAACTATAGACCTTAATCACGATTAATATACACGTATATGCGGTTTTCGGGGCCATTATCTAAGTTAAGATATTTAAAGAATGGTGGAAAGCTTAATTTTCAACCCCTTGGTTTAACCATATTATAATTTAAAATTCAAAAAGAAATAGATCTAGACAGTATATAATTTAATTTTTTTCAATTCTGCATTTACATTGTTTAGGTTGTGTGCTTAAAAACATAAATAAATGCATTTAAAATTGAGCGATTCCTTTTCCGATAACAAGTTCCACAAATCGACGCTATGTCACCGCCGCTAACTTGACGCACATAATCTTATTGTATAAATTGAATAGAATGAGTCAATACGATTTTACGATTATTTTGGGAATTATCGATTGATTTCTAGGAAAACCATTTTTCCGGTTAATCGCAATCGCCCGTGCGGTTATTTTAATTTCGAAGTTTTTGAGCGACGAATTAAAAAAGTTATAAAAAATGTTTTATTTAGTAAAATGTGGGGAGTATTATATACTACCGCAAAACAAAGTTGTAATAAAAAAAGAAAAATGTTTCGCGAAATTTAAAGGCGCGAAATACGAGGCCTTTATTATAGATAAAGCTTCAAGTGCATCTCGCCTGGAAAAGAAATTCAAAAGCCTAAATGGTAAGTCAAATGTTTAATGCATGTACAAGTGCATATTATATTTTTTAGAGAAATCGTGTGATGATCGTTATGTATATGTATGTGCTATTCTACATATACATATTATGTAAACTTATGTACTTTTGTATGTGTATTTTAAATTGAGTTGAATTGAATTGTATGTTGTTGAATTTCCGTTAAACAGATATGTACAAAGGCAAATTAACACGAAAAGTTAAATTCTCATACACTCATACAAAGGTACATAAAGTCATTTCTTGCACAAAAAGCTAAAAATTTTATAAAAAAAAAATATATTTTTTTTTGTACAGAAGCTGAAATTCCAAAAAGTGCTGTTGTTGGAGAAGATATGGCCACAAACTGGGGCGCCAAAGGTAAGGATAAATATTTAATTCAACTTATATTTGTTTTTTCATACATATGTGTTATAAGTATTATTTTACAACAAATATTTTCTCATTTTTTTCAATAGGCGCTGGTCAAAATAGTCTGGATGCAAGAGCAGATATGCAAACTGATTGCAGCGTACAGGGTGAGTGCAAATTTCATAGTTTGTCATAGAAGGGAACTAGTTTAACTGCTGAAGTCAGCAGAAGGATGTTAATTTGATAACTAAAAAATAAAAATTACAGAATAACTTAATTATTATTTTATTGCATATGTTTTTTATATGTTGTTTTATATACCCAACCTATTTGATCGCATTTAAAAAGGAACATTTTTAGTTGCTTCAACCCTCACAAATAAAAAACATTAGATTTGCATATTTTCATAGATACAAAAGTATTGGCAATTGCTTAAATAATTGTGTTAAAATATGAAAAAATAAAACAAAAAATAAAAATTATTGTTTAGTGATTTTGCCATTTTATTTTCGATTTGTCATTAAATGCATCAGTTTTCATTAAACATTTGGATCAATTTTGTGCCGCTCGTCTATAACTGATTTACTTTTGTCCAATAGCTCGGCAAATTCTTAAAAGGATCTGCCATGCTTGCGTTAATTTATTATATGTATTTAATTTAATATATTTTCGCTGCTCTACGGTGGTTTCACACTTCTTGGCGGTCATTTTTGCAAAATAAACAATAAATTGATCTTTAAACAATTTTTTCTAATAAATTTTCTGAGATTAAAATTACGGTGCCTACAGATGTGCATTTTGACAAAGAAAAATAACACCATATCAAAAATAATATTAAAATGAAAACTATATATATGAAAAAATGCAAATACTTTTGTTCTTATAAAATTACGGGTCTATAGAATGAAAACATTATGAAATTTAGCCATGCCGCCAGCTTTTATAAAAATAATTGGATTTCTTGCACAAATTCGCTAAAAATTTTATAAAAAATATAATTTTTTTTTTTTATTTTTACAGAAGCTGATAATCCAAAAAGTGCTGATGTTGGAGAAGATATGGCCACAAACTGGGGCGCCAAAGGTAAGGATAAATATTTAATTCAACTTATATTTGTTTTTTCATACATATGTGTTATAAGTATTATTTTACAACAAATATTTTCTCATTTTTTTCAATAGGCGCTGGTCAAAATAGTCTGGATGCAAGAGCAGATATGCAAACTGATTGCAGCGTACAGGGTGAGTGCAAATTTCATAGTTTGTCATAGAAGGGAACTAGTTTAACTGCTGAAGTCAGCAGAAGGATGTTAATTTGATAACTAAAAAATAAAAATTACAGAATAACTTAATTATTATTTTATTGCATATGTTTTTTATATGTTGTTTTATATACCCAACCTATTTGATCGCATTTAAAAAGGAACATTTTTAGTTGCTTCAACCCTCACAAATAAAAAACATTAGATTTGCATATTTTCATAGATACAAAAGTATTGGCAATTGCTTAAATAATTGTGTTAAAATATGAAAAAATAAAACAAAAAATAAAAATTATTGTTTAGTGATTTTGCCATTTTATTTTCGATTTGTCATTAAATGCATCAGTTTTCATTAAACATTTGGATCAATTTTGTGCCGCTCGTCTATAACTGATTTACTTTTGTCCAATAGCTCGGCAAATTCTTAAAAGGATCTGCCATGCTTGCGTTAATTTATTATATGTATTTAATTTAATATATTTTCGCTGCTCTACGGTGGTTTCACACTTCTTGGCGGTCATTTTTGCAAAATAAACAATAAATTGATCTTTAAACAATTTTTTCTAATAAATTTTCTGAGATTAAAATTACGGTGCCTACAGATGTGCATTTTGACAAAGAAAAATAACACCATATCAAAAATAATATTAAAATGAAAACTATATATATGAAAAAATGCAAATACTTTTGTTCTTATAAAATTACGGGTCTATAGAATGAAAACATTATGAAATTTAGCCATGCCGACAGCTTTTATAAAAATAATTGGATTTCTTGCACAAATTCGCTAAAAATTTTATAAAAAATATAATTTTTTTTTTTATTTTTACAGAAGCTGATAATCCAAAAAGTGCTGATGTTGGAGAAGATATGGCCACAAACTGGGGCGCCAAAGGTAAGGATAAATATTTAATTCAACTTATATTTGTTTTTTCATACATATGTGTTATAAGTATTATTTTACAACAAATATTTTCTCATTTTTTTCAATAGGCGCTGGTCAAAATAGTCTGGATGCAAGAGCAGATATGCAAACTGATTGCAGCGTACAGGGTGAGTGCAAATTTCATAGTTTGTCATAGAAGGGAACTAGTTTAACTGCTGAAGTCAGCAGAAGGATGTTAATTTGATAACTAAAAAATAAAATTACAGAATAACTTAATTATTATTTTATTGCATATGTTTTTTATATGTTGTTTTATATACCCAACCTATTTGATCGCATTTAAAAAGGAACATTTTTAGTTGCTTCAACCCTCACAAATAAAAAACATTAGATTTGCATATTTTCATAGATACAAAAGTATTGGCAATTGTTTAAATAATTGTGTTAAAATATGAAAAAATAAAACAAGAAATAAAAATTAATATTTAGTGATTTTGCCAGAAGAAAATGTTGTATGCAGTGGACGGATACTTAGACAATTTTCTCTTAAAATATATTCATGAAAAACTCTACGTCAATCCTCTTAAAGCTTCCAATAAAAAATACTAGGTAGCCCGGAGAGAAACAATCTTTTTTTTTTTGCAAATATATTAAGTATTATTTCCTCATCATCTGAATAGGTGTACGTAATAAATTTCTAACCATACTTTTTTATATATTTTTATTGCACAGTAGACTCAACTTTTTTAAACTCCAATATAACGATGGAGTCAGCTGCTTCAGACATGACATACTTCCCAGATAAATCATCGTCATTTATGGATAGTACATCCGTTTCTTACGAACCAACGGAACCGTTGTATGATGTTAGAAAAATTACTGTCCCAATTGCTAAGAACCAGAAAAAATGTAAACGGCACTTTTGCATATTTTGTAAAACTTTGCAAACAAAATTTGCACGCCACATAGAACTTAAACATAAGGTTGAACCACAAGTTAGAGAGATCAGCAGTTTACCAAAAGGCAGCCAGCAAAGAATAAAATTGCTTGACGCTTTACGAAAAAAAGGCGATTTCATTTATAACACTGATGCAAATTACAATGAAGGGACTTTTATAGTGCCTCGTCAATTGAGGGAAAACTCAAAAAGAGGTGCTTTAGATTTTGTTTGCTGCACTGGATGTAAGGCCTATTTTCCAAAGATAACTATTCGGAATCACATAAAAAATTGTAGCAGTAATATCCATAAAAAAGGCAACCGGGATATACTAAAATCTGGACGAGGCACTACAGGCTATATGCATAGTGCTGCAAATATTATATTGCGTAATAAAATAATGCCTGTCCTTAATGACGATGTTATCAGTAGGACAATCATGTATGATCATCTAATAATATTGTTCGGAAATTCAGAAGCCATGAAACACACGGAAGTACAGCACGATATGATAAGGGCAAATATGCGTTATCTAAGTCGCCTTTTAATCGCGATAAAATCGGAATGCCCCGACGTGATAGAGCTGAAAGATGTCATTTGCCCTAAATATTATGATGCCGTGATTTCTGGAATTCGTTCTGTTGCTGAGTTTAATTACGATAATTTGAGTTTTATGAAGCCCACTGCAGCGACAACACTAACATGCTTGGTCAAAAAATGTGCGAGAATATTAGGAGCACAGAGTATTAAAGATGGCGATGATAGCAGGAAAAAATTAGTGAATGATTTCTTATCTCTGTGGGAAACAGAAATAAATTTAAACATAAATAAAAGAGCTGTTGAGGATCAAACAAAAAAACATAGAGCTGTCAAAGTATTAATACCTACTGTGGAGGACATAAAATTACTGTATGATTTTGTTCATGATTTATCCGCTAAAGCTTTGAATGAGCTAAACAGCAAATTCAACGTTTTGTCATTAACCTCGTTAAAGCAGAGCACTTTGATCAGTTTGCTTATTTTCAATCGGCGCAGAGTTGGCGAACTGGAAAGGCTTACTCTTGAGAGTTACAGAACTGCTCATTCTATTGGGGACATCGACGATAGAGCTAATTCTAATCTGTATAAAGACATGTCTGCCAAAATGAGAAACATTTCTCAAAATTTCACCAGGGTGATTATTCGTGGCAAAAAAAACCGTACAGTTCCAGTTCTTTTTACACCATGGGATCGTTATTGCATAGACAATATTCTGGAATATGGAAAACGCACAATAAATAAACCAACTACATATATCTTTAGTGTGCCAAACCCGCGGCCACTAAGAAAAGAATATATTCGTGCGTGTCCAATACTAGAAAAATTCGCAAATGAATGTGGTGCACGTTGCCCTGAATCCCTTAGAGGCACAAACCTGCGAAAGCAATTGGCCACACATACCTCTTTATCTAATGTTAAGGACATTCAAATTGATTATTTGGCGAGCTTTATGGGTCACCATAAAGACATCCATAAAAATTACTATCGTGTTCCTGCCTCTGTAGCAGAGATGACCCAAGTTTCGCAATTACTTATGTCAGCAATGAACATGGAAGAGGAAAATGCTGAAATTGTAGAAGCTAATCCCGACAGTGAGTTAATTTATTTAGTCCTAGCTGCAATGCTATAGAAGAATACTTCAAAAGAATTTTTGCAAGAATCGAAACTTCGATACAATCGAAGATACTTTCACTATTTAAGAAATTAGTGATGGTTTAAAATAATTAAAATATTTTGTTGGTATGGCTAGTCCGAAGTTCAAAACTATTTAATTTAATATTTTGCTAATTTTATTGCAAGCAATATATTAAGTTAAATTTTTTTCAACTGTTTATTTAAACAAACCCGGACCTCAAGCAAACAAACAAAATATTTAAAAAAATTATATATGCTTTAACGTACTTTTTCTTACAGCTGAAATTAATAATTCAGAAAGCTCAAATGAATCAAATGATGAAGAGCCGCCGGAGTTTGTATGTACGTCAGATGACGCAAATTATTCGCCTCCCAAAAGAATGGTAAAACGTCGAAGCAGTAAGTATTACGGAATAGCCAACAAGTAATCAATTTCAGTATAATACTTAATATAACAATACAAAGAGTCCCACGGTTAAAGCTCATGTCCTTCACTTTTATGGAGCTCAATCTCTAACAGATCAATTACTAACGGCATGACAAATCAAAACTTATTCATTTACTTATATAAATAAACTTTTTTATTGCAGCGTCACCGTTTGGAAAAACGCGCCGTGTACGATGGGGCCCAGGCGAACGCAAGCAACTGGAAAACATATTTGGGAATTTAGAAACATTGGAAAAGTTGCCATCGCTTAAAAATGTTCCCAAATAATAAATGAGAATCCATGTTTTCGCGGCCGCACTTCAGCTCAACTAAAGACTTTTCTGGACAACCAGAGAAAAGCGGAGGGGAGGAAAAAATCTTTGTAATGTTTTAAAACAATAAAAATAAAATAAAATAATCTTATAACAAAATATATAAAATATGCATGTTTACTTTTCATACAAGTTTATGATGATCAATAATTTCGTTTAATATTGATCCGACAGACAAATGGAGTGACGGGCGTGTCTAAATCGACACTATTTCGTTAATAATAGATATAGATTAAATTTATTTTACACTGCTAAATAAGCAAAACTTCGTTATACCACTTTCATACATTTTTAATGGGTTGGCGGTAAACAAAAAATAAAAATCTCAAATACTTACTCAAATGGGAGTAAGTAAAAGTTTCCGTGTTCTAATTCCATATTAAAATGTTTGTATATTCGGTAATATGCGCTAGAGTTATTTGAGGGACATTGTCCCCAATAAGGACGTCTCATATAGTGTTCCCGAAATAATCGTTACTCATCCAATTCATTCCACCGTTCCCTGTCCCTAAAAATAGCTTTAGCCAATAAGACTTTGGACCAGGTGGCAACTCTAAATTTTTGTCCCCAAAATAAGCTTTCTAATGGATTATGATTATATATAATATTTTGGCAAAGTATTTAAAGTCAGTTTTGAAGACTCGGTCCCAGAAATAATCTTTACATATCGTGTCCCCAAATAAATCTCTCTATGACCAAAGGCACATATTTTTTAACAGAAAGCTCCAAAATGCCCCATTCTCAGAGAGATGATTATTTGGGGGCTTATTAATAGAAAAACATAGCGAAAGTCCCACCTTTTGTCTGTCCCCAAAACAAGCGTATCACATATATATATATATATATATATATATATATATAAATATTAAGCTTGCACATCCAAGGGAAAAATCCCATCAAAATATAAAAAACGGCATGTCAAACATAAGAGTCCAAGCAGCTCTCCACAAAATGGGTGCTTGTTGTTGACCTTAACAATGGCCTGGGAATCCTGGCATGGGGCCCTACATGGATTAGCCGCAGCTTACGACCGACAGACGCAGAGTGAATTAAAAAAATAAAACCTGTACAGAATGCCAGATTTGTGGCTGTGGCAAAAGAAAACAGGCCTAGTTCTGCCAACATCTACAAACTTCTCTTTCCCTCCTTCCCCTTGTCATCCTTTCGCTCGCACCCGTTCTTGGTACCAGTATTTACTGTCGGTGACATACACAAAAGGCAAACATTCTGTACTTCCTCTGATAATAATTCGTGAGCAGAAATTCACATGTGCCCTTATCATTAGAGATGGGTGCGTGCCGTGACACGTAAGCGCAACACTAAAAGTTACGAGCACGCGCTCATCTCTAGCGTTCACGTAGGCGCACATAATTTGTGGCCGCACAAAATTCCATTTTTGGTTCAATATTTTTACTCAGTTGTCGCTAATTTACGGCCATTATATTCGCAGTTTGGCAATTAGTGGTGCGCTGCTTGAGTGAATTGCTGCGGTTCAAATGGTGGTTTAATTTCCTGCTCAAATAAATAACGTCAGACGTGAGTTTTAAATTGCGTGCAATAAAAATAAAAATACACATTAAAATTCTCAAGCAGTTCTAGCATATGTTGCTTTAAGCCGCACAAACCACAAACATTTGTGTGCACACACTGACACACTCGATGCCAGGCAGTTTATAAAGATGGGGCAACCCTGGTCGAGGCATTGGGTATGGCAATGATAGCAACATGTGCAATATGTAGTTATAACCACAACTACAAGAGCGACAACAAAGCGTGCATATTTCCAACTCCTGGCTAGGACACACAAAAAAGTGTTAGTTGGAAAAGGCCTGGGAAAAAAAGAAAACGTTTTGAGCTACAGAATTCCGATTAGAATGAGCGAGGCATGGGTATAGCCGTTGGCGAACGTTTGAAACTGCAAAACAATTAAAATAGAGAGAGAGAGAGACCCACAGTGGACAGTGGCAGACCAGCAACAGGCACGGAGGAAACCGACAACGTAGCATTCCATATGTACGGGAAAAAAGCCCCCAACGTAACCCTCACCCCAACTAAACCCTCACTCTCGCAACCCGGCAACAATTTTTACCCTGTGACAGCAGTTTTCAAAGCTTCCTCCTGCTTCTGCTCCCATTGAAACTGATGTTTTGCTGCCTGGCAGGGGCTTTGCTTATGTCAATATGAGAATGGGTGTATTGTCTCTTTTTCTCTGTCCAATCTCCGTTTCTCCCCCTGTGCTCGGCATGTGTGTGTGTGCCTTATCAACAGCATCCAAGCCCACGTAAATTCCACTGAATAACGCAATTTTATTGATGCGTATGTTGACGAAAGATGATGGCGAATGTAGATGCAATGTTAAGCCAAGGGGTGTGTGTGTGTATTGGTAGGTGTGTGTTTGAGTATTGCGGAAATCGTCAAACGTTTGTGGTTTGATATGTTTTGTCACACAATATGCATTAGAACAGACAGCTAGACTGATGAAAATTGTAAAAATTCAGGTTCTATCGATTTAATTCACGCTCAGAAGCTTAAGTTTTTGATCAATAATTGGAGAGCAGGAAGTGAGGTAGATGGGCGATATTTGGCATCAATATTCAAGTTATGGCTTCAACCATACAATTCTCAACCAAAATATCTAATCTTATCTCTTGCTAAAAAGTATCTCAGTTGTGATTTCGTTTTGTCTATTTGACGCTTTTTATGCCACAAATAAAAGTTTTAAGTTGGCCTGCCGCTGGGCTGTTAAGAACTAAAATAAATTCATAAACAGTCAAATCTCTATTTTTATACCCTGTACACAAAAAATACGTAAAAAGGAGCGCGGACCGGGTTATCCATCTGTGACCAATAGCTGCATTACAAGAGTTCTTTTTCAAGCCTGCTTAGCCAGCTTCTGGTCTCCTTAGTTAATGTTTACGCTTTTAGTTTATTAATATCTTTGTTTATTTTTGCTTAGTATGCATATTAAAGCACAAGAGGGTATCTTAAGTCTCGATCAAAGCACATTTGTACTGGTTTTTCGCTTTTTTTGCTGACCGAAAAGTTTTCCAATTTAGATTCATAAACCATCAAAACGAGTGAAGAAAGGGAAATAGTGAAAAGCCATAGATAAAATTTACTTGTTAAAGCTGCCTGGTGAGCAAAATATGTTAAAGAATATTTAAACGAATAGTAAATATGTTTGACCTTAGCCCCAAAAATCTCTTCTTTGGTGGCTGCCAGATGCAATTTACAAACAATTTGAAAAGGCACCTGGTACAAAAATTGTTAATCCAGTCGAGGCGCATCGAGTGTTCATAAATGAAAGATATATATATGTATAAATATATGTATATATGTATCTGTATATACACAAGACTGTTTGCTATTCTGGCAACTTCTGCTGGCAAAAATGTAGCCAAATATTATGCAAAGTTCGCCCACACGATGCGGATTCCTGGACTGGGTGAAGACCCCATGCCTGGATGCTAACCAAATTTGTATCTGTTTCCAGACTGCGTGTGGTATGCCGCTGACAGACATTAGCAGAGCTTATGTTGCGCTCCAACCTTTCCGCCCCGCTGAGCCTTGGGGGCAACTAACTCTCACCCTGCCTCATGGACAGCGAGTCTCTGTCTAATGCATGCGAAAATTGCAAAAACTGCAAGTTAAAAGTGGAATTTTCCGACAACTATGTGAAGGTGTCCGTGTCTGTTTGCCACACTGTGTGTGTGCGTGTGTGTGTTGCTTCTGACAACTATGCAGATACTGGCATCAGTTATTTTCATAAACTCGCCCCAGACTGTTGCTTCTGCAGCTGGTATCTCTGGACAGCAGCCAGTTGATGTTTAGATAGGGCGAACACCTTCCGCACACTCGAATGCAATTTAAGTTATACATTTCTCAGTTTATTGCATTACATTGCAATTACAATTAGTTGTAGCTGAGAAACGGGCGTTACCTTAGCACTCGGGGCAGATACTTTCCCACAGAGTTGTTGCACATCAAATTTGCTGCATACTCTGAGGCGTTCATATATATTTTTAGCGTACTTTTTCTCAATCGGGTCTGCTTTCGATTTCGATAACGACTCATTTTGCTTGCTGTATCAATAAATAATTAAAAGTAACATCCGGAAAAACTGAATTTGAAAATGTACCTTACTTCAATTAGAATATGTAATTTTTTCTTATTATTTTATGCCTAAGCTCTTCGTCTTGCTCCTACAATATGGTAATATTGTAGGAATCTTACAATTGCTCCGCAACTAATTTCCTTGTGGAATGTCGTTTTTAAGCACTTGATTTATTTCAAATCGAAGTTCAGTTTTTTTAAATCCACTTTTTCTGTGCTCTGACCTTGTACTTACGATGTAATATTATCTGAAATTAGAACAAGTAAAATCCTTAATACCTTTAAATGAAAATAGAATAATATCTAAGCTTCTGAGAGAAACCCATTTATTTATTTTGCTGTATTATGCACATTATTAAAGAGTTTATTTGTATTATATGCTGCCTTGTTAATATTGGCATTATTTACTCAGCTTATGGGGAAAATCAGTTCGTATATGTTATTTATGAACCTTCACTTTAACCAAACAAACCGTAAATAAAGCCCACCCCATAACTCCATACATATCACTATTTGCCATCTGCACTCTCCCATATTGTTTGTCACTTGAGCTCGGGGTCATATTTTATCTGCCCCACACTCGCTCTCTCTCTCTCCCTTTCTCTCTTTCTCTCTGGCGTGCAACCTCAGTGCAATGCGGTTTGCACTCGCAACCAGTGGAGCGGTAGATTTCACCTACCCAATGCCTAGAAGCTCTTGGTACTCAATGACACTCAAATTCCAATAAATAACTTATGTAACGCCAACTGCGACGACTGTCAAACTGTGAGAGGCAATGGAGGAGGCAACGTGGCGTATGAGCGTTGTGGTTGACGCCCAAAACTAACAGCAACTGCGTTGGCT